GAGTTACAATCCTTGAACAACTCCTTTCACGGAATGAATCAGGTCCTCTCAGCAAACTCTTCAGCAAAATAATCTAGATTTCTCTACTTTTTCACCCCATCTTAGCCACCCCCTCCCCAGCCCATTGTGATCTTGTACTACTGACCTGCCTCTACTTGCCTAATCATACCACGCTGTTTCCTGTCTCTGTGTCTGCCCTCCCTGCCTTCTTTACTGTGCCAGCTCCCAGTCTTTTCCAGCAAATCCTTCTCTAGACCCCAGCTGGGTTATGATTCCTCCTTGATTCTCCCATTGAATCCTGGGCACCCACAATCACATATTTTAGTAAAATGTTTTTATTTCTCTGTGTCTCTCTCCCACTGGACTGAAAGCCAGTTCAATAAACCTAGTACAATAGCCAGCTCCTGCCCTTCACTCAGAGGTCAAGTTTTAATGTCACTTCTCAGAAAGGCTATCACTGGTCACCCGACACATGCTTATTGTCTTTTATTCTTGAGTTACCACTTTATGGTATTTCCTTATTTATTTGTTGGTTTATAGTTTGCTTTCCCACTAAAATATGAACTTCTAAGATTTGAGATCTTTTCTATCTTGTTCATCCCGGTATCTCCACTGCCTAGAAGAGTGCCTGATATATTGTAGGGCTTTGATAAATATATATTTTTCAATAATGAGATAAATGAATGGAGGAAGAGTGGAGAGATGGTTTGATGGATGGATTGACACATAAAAGAGGTAGTTGAATTACTCAAGACTGAGTTAGTCTATTTATAACAAATAAGCAGTAATAAGCTAATAATGGTAGCAGGTTAATTTTTAACACCTTTAAAGGGACACCATGATGCCTCAATATTTACTTCTGTGACTCACTGCCATAGACAGTCACCTGCTTTTTAAATGTGTACTGGTTTGTGAAAGCTCTGCCATATCCCAAATGCCGCTAGTGATACTCTATGTGTTTCCTGCATCTTAATTCACCTATCTCCTTTCCTAGTATGTATACGTACACATCCCTCATACAAAATTACAGCAGAGAAAAAAGATCTAGAATCAGTAAGTCCTTAAAGAACTACTGAACTCTTCACTTTATCAACTGATATTATTTTCTCTTTATGAAGCAGAGCGTTTTAGCTTAAATTCCAGACTCATCTTTTAGAAATTTAATTTCCTTCCTCACAAGTTTCTGAATTTATTAGACAGTCATAATAACCTTGTATCCCTAAAATATTATTTTGATTATATGATGAAATACATGTGGAGACTTTTTCAAACTTCAGAATACTCATGTAATACTACATTCTTCATCAAGTAGTATATCAGTGTGATGATTGCTGGGGGGAGGGACAGCTAAGGGGACTAAATCACAATGGGAAAAATATAATTAAAGAAAAAAAGGTAGTATTTAATACCTCTTCCTCATTTATTTGATAGTGATAGCAATGTACAGCTCTGTATTATCTTTCTTTTAAGCGTCTTGTTCTTTGCTTAAGGTCACTTAAGCTTAGGTGTATAATCGTTTGTGTTCTGAATTGCAGCTCCTTCATTAGTTTTTATAACTGTTGAATTTAATAGGACATTGGGGAGGTGGATTGCATAGGCAAGAAGAAATGGATTCTGAACCTTTTATTCTGATGACATCCATTTGATTGTAATCCAAATGATTAGTGAAGAAAAGCTGCTGTCATGACAACTTTCTAGTGTGAAATAAAGTATGTGACTTGTATTTGCTTTTTAGTTTACTGTTTAGAAAAAAAGGACCCCAATACCAACATTCAGTTCACCTTTATTGGGCTCTTCCTGGTACAAGCCACCATGTGCGTTTAACGATGTAACAGTATAAAGACACAGCATCTCTTCCGTAGGAGCAAAAGGTCAGAGTCTCCTCAACTCAAAAGAGAAATGTGTGTGTGACTTTACAGAACCAAGCTCATTATTTTTCAACAATTTATAGTTACAAAGGCAAAACACCTGTGACTTTTTATTTCTTCAAAACTGGTGAATTAGATGTTATAATAGCCCTGAATTTCAAATGAGAAAAATTAAGGACCACAACCAGTAAAGAAGGTGGTGCCTCACTGACTCCTGCTTTGTTCAATAACCACTCCCTGCCCCTGCCAACCGACCCCCTAATTGCCCACCCCCCCAGGGTTTCCTCAGCTAGAAATTACTGATTGGAAGCATACACTTTGTAAGTGACTGTTGTAAATATTTATTTTTTTAAAATCATGTGGAATTGAGGACTGAGTAAAGAAATACAATATTTGTAAATTTGACATTACAGCAGTGGGATAGCTTATGTAAAAATACTTTTTAAACTGTGAAGCCCTATATTTATATAGCATGTCATATATATTTTGGAATTATATTTTGTTTGAATAAATGACTAGTGAGGACATGATATAACTTGGGAAACTTATGGCAGAGTTAAAAAGTATGCAAATGTATTTTGAAAATCGCTGATTTCTGTTTGGCTTACATGAAATACAGCACTTCATGACCAATGTGTTTACTGATCAGGTAGCTACTAATGGAAGGTTGGTTGGTGCTGATGAAGTAGACTTATTAAACAGTGTGGTTTGAGGTCTAATCACTTTTTAAATGATTACAAATTTGGTAAGGAGGTACAATTCACCATAAGGTTTTTAGAAGTACACAACTAAATGGTATAGAGTTCTTTCTAGGGCTGTCTTGCAGTTTAATTAATCAAAGCCAGCTCCCTATCTCTGTCATTCTACAGCCTGGCCTACAATAAATGGCCCCTGTGCCGGCTGCATTTTCCCACCCAGTCGTTGTGCGAATTGAAGACAAGGATATTTGAGACTCCTTTCATGGCAATATTCCTAAAAAGTCTGCCTCCTGAAGTTGTTTAAATCAAAGTGTCATCTGAAAGTCTTAGTGCTTTTATGAAATCTGCAAATATCGTATAAAATGGAAAGTAAAGCAAGAATCCAAAAATTCAGCACTTGAGTTCTCAATGTTAATTATTTTCGAATGTGAAAATTGGATTGTTATCTGTGACTCTTAATACTGCACTTCTAAAAACAAATGGCTTCTTAATTTAATGACTTCAAAGTGGTATAGTGCACCTTCTTCAAAAGGTGCTAAACAGCTCTGATTACATGTTTTATGATAGATCTTAATATCTAAATTTAACTTATCAAGTGAGTGATTTATTAATGGTTAGTCACAAAGAGGTAATTTTTCATGTATTAACATCATTTTACTACTAAAGTTTGACTAAAATGACTACTTATTCCACATGGTATTATCTTTTTTATAAAAAGTGTTGAAAGGTTTTGAAACAATTGGGGAAATGTTAGTAATGAGTTTAGAGCTATTCTCTGTTCATGGAATAGAAAAAAGAGACATAGTAACATGTCTTGATGGAAAAAAATGATTACCAATAGGAAATATCTTTGTAAATTTAAAAAATATTATAATCCAGCTGCAGAATTCTTTTTTTCATATTTTAACCTCAAACTGATGTAACCATGTAATTATAGTCAAATGTGGGACTTCAATAGCAATTAACATCAATCCAATATGCTGAACGGCTATCACTGATCAAGTTGATTTCTATAGAGTGGCATTTACAGTGGTAGTATGTTCCTTTCCTTATTTTCAGAAATTCTGATACATTATTGTAGTATATTTTATAATAGGATTATTATATTTATTATACAAATCTAATGTGGCAAAAAAGTTGAGGATACTATATGAAATGTTAATGAAATTAAGAAAATGGGCTGGGTAGCTCAGTTAGTTAGAATGTTTTCCAGATACACCAAGGTTGTGGGTTTGATCTTTGGTCAGAGCATATACAAGAATCAACCAATGAATGCAAAAATAAGTGAAACAACAAAAAATGTGTCTCTCTCTCTTTCTCACTCTTCCCCCTTCTTCTCTGTCTCTAAAATCAATACATAAAAAATTTAAAAGAGAAAAGAAAACTAGATGCTATATTTCTTTTAATTATTTATAATATTACTTATGAATTTGCAAAACTGACTTTGTAATAAATGTACTCTCTGGTGATATTTTATGAAGTAATTATAAAAGTTAAATATATGTAATATAAATATTTATAATTTTAGATGAATTGACCTCCCATTCTGTGTTTAAAATCTAAATAAATTTGTTATCTGAGAGCATATCATTTGATTATTTTATGCTTCAATTTTAGTACTTAAAATTTGCATTAAGAAATTTCTCTTCAATTTTTGTCACAAATTTAAGGAAAAATAAGAAAGTTAAAATGTAATTGCAGAATACCTACATGTAATTGTGAATTTTGAAATGAAAACTTTAGAAATATAAATATTTTAATACCTTGATTTGCTGAGGAGCATACATACTGTTAATAATGTTAGAAAGTTTAGCTGCTTACTTTAGAAAAATAATGCATTGACATATTTTCTATTATTTATAACATCACAAATTATTATTATAATGTTTTTAAATGTTGACAAATTTACACATTGCTTTTTTGTGGAATTATAACTGACATTGGTTATAAAAATTTAAGTTAAAAATTCATAGTAGTCAGGAGTGCTGTCAGTGTGAAAATTATTTTGATACAAATTCAGAGGATGACTAGAAAAGAAACAATTGGTCAACAGGCATTTATTGAGAACTTTTGATTTATGAAGCATGCTAATCTCTAGGAATGAGAAATATGATATATTGGCCTTTTAAGTCCATTACACTTTTTTGATGTGATCAACAGCCAAAGGAAAATTATACGTAATACAGAATCATAAGGCAGAAGGGAAGTGCCTCTTCACATGCCATACTCAAAGAGAGGAAAAAGAGAGTGTCATGAGGTACAAGAAATATTTCTTTCATGTAGTGATCCATAACATCTGTAAAGTATGTGCAGCTTAAGTGGTGTGATGGTACAATTAAAAAATCTATCAAAAATATCTCTCATCAAATCAGCCACATTTCAAATATGAATTATTTCTAATAGCATTCACATTTTTTTTCTGATTTGTTTCCAGAATGCTCGGGCCCACTGGGAATTGAAGGTGGAATCATATCGAATCAGCAAATCACAGCTTCATCTACCCACCGAGCTCTTTTTGGACTCCAGAAGTGGTATCCCTACTATGCTCGTCTTAATAAGAAGGGGCTTATCAATGCCTGGACAGCTGCAGAGAATGACAGATGGTCATGGATTCAGGTAACAGATGGGTTGGGACAAGGTTACAGTCAAAGAATGAGCAGAGTCATTTTAAAAAGACAGTGAGAGGCCAAATATGACTTTTCTTCATGGTCACAGAAGAAAGGATAATTTAGTTAAGAGTCCAAATTGGCTATCAACTCTGAAACTGGGAAACATACATTCTATTGGAAGGTGTGTTCAGAATGTTAAAATGTTTTAAATTCTTGGGTTATAAATATCACTATTTTAAGGTGCATATCAAAGAAAGGGGGATTTACAATATCTATAAAGGCATTCCAACATATATTTTCATGTATAATCGTCAGCCACCTACTGTTTTAATACAGGAGAAAACATTGAAAGACCAAGATATTAAGTGATTTCCCAAAGATGGGGTGGGTGGTACCAATACCAACATCTTATATTAAATTCAGTTAAATGTTTTTTGAGCACTTAGTTGAAATGAGATAATAAACTACCATAGTAGGAGGACACAAAAGTTGATCAAACCAGTTTTCTGTGAAAAGACTATATGTATGTTGGGTTGGGTGGGGGGATGAGCACATTAATAACTTCTAACAAGTCATTGATGTGTGCTAACAAGAAGGAAAATTCAGTACACAGTGGGTCAGTAGAAGAAGTAATTAATTATCATGAGAAAACCTTATGAGGAACATAGATTTTGAGGTAGGTCTTGGAAGATGACTTTCAGTAGAGACCAGAAGTCAAGGGAACAGAAGCATGATCAAAGATGCCAGGTGAGAATCTGGGAACATCATAAAGAAATTCATGGTTGTATAGGTTGCTAGGGGAATGTCTTCACATTTATTGTTTGAGTTTAGTGTGCCTTAAGATTCATGCATTTAAAAGGTTTGGCCTTGTTCCTTTGGAATAGGGAGATACAACAGAATTTTTATTTGTTCAGGTAGCTGATTAGTTTTGTCTATTTACTGCATAGTTTGAATCAAGGCAATTTTTAACTTGGGAATCTTTGATGTGACATTATTAGGTGCAATGTACAGGGGTTGTCTTACACAGTTGGTTGGAAGGGAATTTGATTCATGGCCAAATAGCTTGACTTCCAAACTGTAGAAGCAGGGCCAAAATCTCTCTCAGATGTTTTCTTTGTTCAGATTTCTTGTGAATTTTTCCATATCCTGTATAAATATCTTTCATCTATATGATGCCATGCAGTTACCTGATATTTTTGTTTTGTTTTATGAATTTATATGTACATGAATTTGCAGAAATTGCTTCTTAAATTATGTATGATTTTTAAAAAATCTATAGTCACATGTGCAATGAGAAATCCAGACAGAGGAAATGGGACATCTGTACAGTTTCCATCATAGACTAATGAATTTCCAATTACAGTTAAAAATAGAACAAATTTTCTTTAAAAGCATGCTTGCTAAAAATCATTCTGGAGACCATTTTTTTCTAGTTGATTATTATGAAATGCATTTTTGGAATTGAGGTCATGACAAAAATTTAGAAATTAAGATTTAAAGCATAAATTGCAGAACAATTGAGAAATGATGTCATAAGTTTGCATTAAGGTTTCTCTTTAGCATATTATGTTTGTGAGCTTCAGTGATTGCCATGTTTTGATAAGCTATAAATAACATACTTTGCAATGTTTTCTCTGAGAAACACTACATTAAACTTTCACGTCCTGATATTTCACTTTACTTTATCCCAATTTTTTCCTTACTTAACACTAATGCATCATATGCCTTTCAAAGAATGAATGAATTTTAAGTTCTCTTTATCCCATGATTATAGTTAGATAAATATAATGATTAACTTAAGTAGAATAATTATTTAATTTTTAAGAGCTGCTTATCATGATTATGATTATGATTATTTTGCTATTCATATGAAGACAATGAGTTCTTAGAGAAAAACAGAAAAAGTAAATAAAAAGGGTTTCATATTAGATGAAGATATGTTGCAGATAATGGGAGGAAAAGTGAAAACTAGCCGTTGTTATTCAATAGTACTTGTGATTGTGCTAAGAGCATATATTATGTCATTGTATTTCTTAATAAAAACTTAGTAAGTTATTTTTCTAAAATGTAAAGGGGTACCTTCTTAAAGGAAAATCATATCTAAGAGGCTCTTTGAAGATAGATCATGTTCTAACTTTTTTGTGCTAAACATTGTTAATTTCCTGTGTCATTTAATTTTTTAATTTATAATCAGTCCTTCAAATGAAACATTTGAATACTTTGCCTAAATTCACTTAAAATGAGCACGCTAGACCCCTAATCTTTCAGGTGTATGATACACATGCAATAATTAGTATTTAATTACATTTTATTCCTTGTCTTGATGAAATTAAAATTGCCATTTTAAATTTACACACTCAGCATGTAATTATTGACAGCACCATAATATTCATAGTTTGTTCTGGATTTAAAGGATTGGTCTTATGAATACAGTTAAACAGAAACCTGTTTTTTTTCTCTCCAAGTTTTTATAACCTTTATTTCCTCAAATGGATTTTTTCCAACTAATAAATTACCACCTTAAACACTGACTGTTTTATTATTAGCCTGGAATATCAATTTCTTTTTCTGACTGACTTGAGAAGTAGCAACTTTGCACAATTATAGAAATATATCTTGGATTATCTCATATAAAAGTGAAAAAATTCATTTAAATCTTCTGGGTATGTGGGTAACTGACTTAGGTCAGTCAGGATGACTGTGATTTATTTTTAAAGAAAATTATTTTCTGTTATTTTTCTCTTTATAGCTACATGTAGTAAAATATTGTATTGTATTAAAATTACTGAGGTGATTTTGTCTTATCATATTTTCATTCTCATTTTTTTAATTCATTCAACAAGCATGTCCTGAATAGATGCCACTTCTGTGTCTACTGGGCATTAGAAAAAAGAGAGCACTTGCTTTCACATGCTCTGAATATAAGATACAGAAAAGCAAACAGGGTAAACACAACATACAGTTTTTGTGGTCTGGTCTTATGTTATCTGCTAACCATTTTATTTGAACCATTATATTTTACCATATCCAACAGCCTACTTTTAATAAAACTTTTTTAAAACTAAAAACTAGTTTAATGTAATAACAGAATATGAGAAGAGCAAAATCCCTGTTACACTATGCATTATAGCTATATTATTACTTGCTGATCTATTTGATGGGTATACTTAGGCAAAGACATATTTTTCCTTTCCAAGTTAATTTACCAGCAGTTTCAGCATTAGTATTTTATCACTGACAAAAATGAGTTTGATCTTTCTCTTTTAAATAATTTATTACCCTTTTAAGGAAATGTAAATATGATCTTAATATGTTCCTTTTTTGTATGCCACAGAGTCTGTGGGAGGAAGAGATACTAATTTCTCAATCTTTAATGTGCTCAGGAATCACAGGGGTCACTGGGTAAAAACAGGAACGCCTGGGTTGCCCCGGACCTAGTGCAGGTCATCCTTAGACTGCACTCTAGTAATGTGTTTCATCAGCTTATAAAGCCTGGATTTGTACTGTTTGCATTAGATTAAAAAATAGATAAATAAAATTTAAAAACATTTTTTGCTTGATGATTTGGGGCACTTTGTTGTTGAAATTGCAGGTAGTAATAACCTCATTGATGGAAGGAGAGGCGACAACAGTGAAGAAAAATGGGGAAGGATAGTGGGAAATATGTGACCCAGAAAGTCTCTACACTATAGGCAGGCAAAGTGACATCATATATCCTCATCAGAAGGGCATCCCACTTTTAGTAGCAATTAATAAGCAAGAGTTATTTGTTCATTTTAAAATTTTAAGTATTTTCCAGTTAGTATTCATAAATGGCTATTAAATCCTTCATTGTTAGAAAATTTAAAATCTTCGAAAGCAAAACCATCTGACTTTTACATTTTTAAACAAAATAACAATGTAGAAAACATGGATCCAAAAAAAAATTATGTAAGTGCAAGTTATTTTACAAATTTTCATCTCTGGAGTACAAATTCCATATGTGGTGGGGCTTTATTCTTAAAATTTTGTAAATGTAGAATTTGAATTGGTGCAAAAAATAGAATAATCATTTATTTCACTCAAAAACCTGTATATAATATGTGTGAAAACTTTTTTGGTCTGTATAGATACCTGGAGTTCCTTGAGACACAAAAAACATTTTTAAAAATGCCGAATTTATGAAGTATATTTTTTCATTTTCAGATTGTTTATAATTATAGAGCCCAAATTACATATGTATATGTATTCTATATGCATATACATTTGTATAGAATCTACTTCATCTTTACTACTTCTTCATTCAAGTAAAAAAAAGAATTGCCTGGATTTTCCTGAAAAAGCTACATCCCCCTGTGCACTCCCATTCATATTAAACACCTTCTAAGGATAATTATATCTGGGCATGAATATATCGTTTCTTTTTCTATCTCTTTTTAAAAATACACTATTCTTGGATGGAAAATCACTATTTTCTTTATTTATTAGAATTAAACTTTCATACATAGGCATGTGTGTTTAAAAAATGTTACATTTTTATTCTTAAAAAACAAAAAATCACTTAGTATTAAGTAAAAATGATGATGCCTCTTACTGAAAATAATATATTTTGTCTCTAATTATTTGATCACTGACCACATTTATACTAATATAGTGCATATTGCTTGCTTATTGGTTTAAAGGATGTGTTTTGGATCTTAACATCAGATTCTAAGCATATAGGAATTGTTCTCAAATTTTAAAGAAGCTGCTCCAGGAATCTCTTCTCTTTCTGAAGCTACTTCCTCTCCCATATCCAGCACACACATAGGGCCTCATTTGGCCTGTGTTCTTGCTGATCCTCAAATTCATCTGGCTATTCTCCTCCTATGCTTAGGCATATACACTTCATGGTTCATTTATTGACTATCTGCCAATCTTTAGATTTTGCTCCTTTATTCCCTTCTGTATAAAGTGATTCCTGGAATTCCTTTATATTTCCAAAGATAGAAGTGACCACAATGTCTTTTCTTCCACTCTGCCAACTAT